GTCAAAAATAGCCATATCCTGAGTGATTCCAGTATTCCAAATGTACTGTGTGACCCGCGACTGCGATAGGGAAGGAAACTCCCAGAGGACGTCCAATAAGGGTCTGAACTGAACTTGTGAAATAAACAGTGTTCGACTCCCCTGGGGATTGTGAATCCCGGAATATCCAAAAGGAGGAGAACGCAACCAGGGTTGAGGTTTCCATCCAGCTATATCATCATCGAAGAGTGATAAGACGTCCAGATCCAATGGTAACTGGGACCTGTATAACAAAAAGAGTCTTCACGTACTGTAGTGAGAGAGTGAAATAATTCGATACGATCCTGATCCATGCCTGACCTGTCAAAATACGTGTATGGAACGCCACCTACAAGATAGAGTCTCTTGGTCCCTGCACCCCTGTCTGTCCGGGTACGATCTCCAAGAGTAGGCCCTAGGCCAAGGAACCCAGGAAAGTGAATTTGATAAAAGAAGTCAAAGCATCCTCCCAGGAATACCTCCCTTTAGCCTGGAGTCCCGTGGACTCATAGTGTTCTCCGATACGTAAGCAAGACGTAAAGTCCCTTCACTCACAATAGGACTTCCAGATAGCAGATATAACAAAACACGGATCTAGCTTCAATCCTCCGAAGCAGGTGTTGTCTGGTTTGAGACGTCGGCATCCATAGTACTCCAGTGGTAGGTTGCATCCCGACTTGTGACATCCATGTAGGAGTAGGGGACACACATCGTTCCTCCATAGCGTCCAAGTAGGTCTCCTTGCTGACAGTTGACTAGGTGGGTTAGTGGGAAACACCAATATGGTTCCCGTGAGGGATTTAGGGTATAGAAGGAGGGCCCTCCAAGAATGTTCCCAGAGGAGTGAAGGTAGTCCAATCATCTTACTCCAAGACTGTTAACGACCAGTGAAAATAAGTTGATTGAGGACTCCTGTCTTTCCAAGCAAACCATGCGAACGGCGTAGCTGCAGACCGGGCTGTGGGCCTTCCCTAGTCTTTTTACACGAGCATGGCAGTGCACATTTGCTCTACGAAGGCCTCAGGCTCTCGTGACACATTGACATGGGAAAGAACTGTCTGTGCAGTTCGTTTGCAATGGTCTGCATAACCTGATCGGAGTGTGATTGCTAGTCTGATTATACCGACACCTGCAATCTTGCAATAGCTGAGGCTCAACCCTTAGCTATACCATCTCCAGGAGTACATCCAAAGGAATTTTATAGGGCACCAACAAAATGGAGCAATTCTGGGGGCTGAACCCAAGCTGGTCAGCCAATCCGTCCCTCTACTGTCCCATAAGGACTCCGGGACGTGTGCAAACAAGCAGGAAATCACTCCCAGTAATACCTCTGTGAGTCTTTTTTGCGCGGGATACGGTGGCCATATCCAGTAGGATCATATAGGAGGTGAAAATAGAGGAATCCGGTCTAGACCTGTATACCATGCATGATCAGGTAGACCTCTAAAGCAAATTTGGTAGTACGGTTGTAGATCTAGAGGAGAGGTTCTCTCCCCTTGCCCAGTTGTTATGGAGCATTGTAGGTACTATACCCCTGTACCAGAGCCGAATCATCAGCGGTGAACACGGTATGTGGTACGCACCTCTATATTGGATTGAGAGAAGGAGGGATGCCCCTCTATGCAGACATCATTGTCCTGTACAGGTACAAGCCTGTGTGATGAACAAATGGATGACCGTACTGTGTTGAGTGTATGAGAGAGAGCTGCACTCTCTAATAATGTATCTGAACTCCGTGTTGGCATCCGGCTGATATCATGAGTGGGCCGCACCTGTTAATAGCAAAAGTTAGAGTCTACCTCCATGTCAGTTTCATTCTATGAGAATGTGTCACTCTCAAAGTATGTCCTCTGTATCCCTCTCAGTATCGAGCTGAGGTTGAAGGAGGGCCGCGCCCTCTAATAATGAAGCAGTGTCCGGTTCAGTATATGAGAGGGGTTTGCTTCTACTTGTGTAAATAAAGTATCGGTCTCAGGTCAAGGAGATGGAGGGCTGCACCCTCTAGCAATCCAAACTAGAGTCCATCTCAGACCCAGGGTGACCCTGTGGGATTCACCATCTAATAACAATAGCGTAGGACTTGGATCTCGAGTAGGGTCCCTCTCTGGCCACGAGACCTTTCTCTGAATCCCTCACCTGAGAGGTGGGATCCACTGGTAATAAACCAGACTGATGGTAGACGGAGTAGTATACCACCTCAGGCCGTGTCCATCTTAAATAATAAAAATGGTAAATGAGAGAAAGCAACCTTTTGGAAACAATGACAGAGTCTACAGAGTCCCGTGCATGCAGGCGGGATCCAGGATGACTGTCGGCAGTCTGAGGAAAGCTGGAGACGTTCTACGCAATCCACAAGGGCCAGGAAGGTCGGAGGAGGTCTTGAGTCAGGCCCCTTGACGACCCAAGCGATAGGAAAAAGGAAGGCAAGAAAAACAAAACAATAATAAAAAGTAAATAAGGGTAAATACGTACCTCGGATAAGGTAAATAGCAGGCCGGAAAACAAGTCAAGAAAGTCCAACTGAACAGGACCAGGAGCTAACCTGACGCAGGAATAACTAACAATATCTAAGATGGATACCGGAAGGCAGTTAGAGGGTTAGTTGCTAAAGACAAGGGAACACCATGTCCCCCTGTTGGGGTCTGAGTGCTGGTCCCTGCCTGACTGAAATTCTCCATGGGGCTGTGCCTCCGCCGGGCTGGTGTAAACCGTGGTTGCGTGCCTGAGTCTTCATAAAAAAACCTTGCCCTTCAGGCATGAGGTTTTAGGGCCTTCACCCTTCCCACCATACTCAGGTGGTCTTATACTGGTCTCCTCTTGGATAGTATGGCAGTTGTGCTTGCCTGAGCACCCACCTATCTCCATGTCAATAGTGGGTACTGGGTTTTCCTCAGTGATATTCCCCCAGGCCTGCAGCCAAAAGGGTTTTGGCAATGATAGATCAAGCCAACAAGGGCACTGATAGAGCAGGCCCATCAGAAGGTCACAGGCCTAGCAGGCCAATCAAATGGGCACAGACATAGCAGGCCAATCAAAGGGGCACAGACGTAGCAGGCCAATCAATGGGGCACAGGCATAGCAGGCCCGTGATAGGGGCATAGACAGAGCCGGTCGTACACTTGTGTAGCGTTCCGACAGCCATAAGGCCCATCTGTGTGGGTAGAGTCCCTTATATATATGTGCAATGAAACAGGGAAAACTTGGGTGGAAACTTTAATATACAAAACCCACTAGCAGTGTAGAATATGTTTATAACAGTATTTTACATAATACCTCTGGATTAAGTGCTATTATGTCTCCAGTCTAATATAACAGATGTTTCAGCCACTAGTGCTGAATATTCTATAACACTATGCAGGGAACTGGCAGATCTGTAATGTTTGGTCAAAGACAGAGGTATCCAAACTGCAGGAACCTCAGAGCAGTACAGGGTGTACTGTCTATAGCCTATCCTCCAGCCCAGCAAAGATATATAATAAATATAAGTCATCCTGAGGTATAGATTAACCCTGAGCAGGGTGGAGGGGCCCTCATATGCTGTAATAAGGTTCCGGCCGTGATCTGAATCCGGCCTTGATACACAGAGAGGGAGAAAATCCCTCAACAGACCTCCAAGGAGAAGGTATACACGGGGGAGGGGCCGCGAGCGGTCGCCTCCCCCCCCCACGCCTGGTCGGACACACACGGTCCGCGGACGGAGACGGCCGCAGCAAAGCGGCCACGTGGGGAAAAAGATCCGGTCGCCGGGTATTCATGCTCACTTGCGAGTACCACCGCGGCAGGAAAAAAACACATGGGACCGCCGGAGATGAACTCCGCGGTCCAGGAGCTCAGGAGATCGGAAGGAGGCAGATGCAAGGGTAGAATAAAATACTGAATATGAAAGAAAAATTCCACAAGGACAATACTGAAAATAAATACTGAAAATATCAGACTAAATTTCACAGGACAATAAAAATACTGAGTATATATAGCAATAAAATCCCACAACGGCAATCTAAAATACTGAAAATATTGCAATAAAATCTCACAAGAACAATACAAAATACTGAGTATATAAGTAATAAAATCCCAAAGTCACCCACTAGAAGCAGGAGGCAGTGGTACTCTGGCCTGTACTGACTGCGGAGCAGCAAAGAAAGAGGAAATTATGTATGGGGAGGGGAGTTTTATAGTACCTAACTTTTTTCTGATTGGTTGTTTTTCTGTGCTGCTGTGGAGTTCTAGTAAAGAGAGACTTAAGCAAATACGAAGCCTCCTGTCATGTTATAAAATTTGTTTATGTCGAGGTGAAGTAAAACAAACTATGGTAACTAAAGTAACAAAACTACGGAAGGATAATTTATAGTGATTAATATTAAGTAATTATATACATTAAGAATGCCTTGGATATAAGAGTTCAGATATCCAAGAGGAATTGAATGGAGTTTAGTTAAGAGTATAGTACACAATTATATTTGAACTATGTCTATAAAGGTATGGACTAGGGAGAATAGGTTTCTTGATATGACGAAATCCAATGAATAAGTTGTTATAAGATGTTATGATTACCCTGAGTTTGTTAGACACAGACTAGGAATAAGTTTCTGGGCAGTATGACCCCAAGTTTATTTTATTTTAACCCCTTAACTCCGGAGGGCGTACTATTACGCCCTGCAGGAGCTGGCTCTAAACGCCGGCGGGCGTAATAGTATGTCCTTGCTATAATGGCCACCCACATGGCCAGCGCTAATCGCCCGCTGCAGATTGTGGTCAGGGGGGGTGCCTGGCCCTCCCAGGCAATCCCCCCTGTGGCCGGTGACCGCGATCTGCAGCCTCTGATCGCAGTGACAAGCTGTCACTGCGATCAGTATTTAACGTGTGTCAGACGATTTCAAATCGGCTGACACACGTGGCCAGCGGCTACCCCTGTGCAGATCGCGGTCGGGGGATATACCTGGCCCCCCAGTCAGGCCCCCTGGGGTCAGTGACTGCGATCTGCACTGTGTGATCACAGTGACAGGCTGTCACTGCGATCTCACAGCACTATGATCGCAGTGACAGCCTGTCACTGCGATCATACACGTGGCCGGCGGCTTTCTGCTGTGCAGATCTCGGTCTGGGGACTTACCTGGCCCCCCAGGCAGTCCCCCTGGGGTCAGTGACCGCGATCTGCACCTTCTGAGCGCAGTGACAGGCTGTCACTGCGATCTTAGAGTGCTCTGATCGCAGTGACAGCCTGTCACTGCGATCAGTGTTACATGTGTCAGCCTAATGGCTGATACATGTAACAGGCACCATGATCCCCCTGCAGATCAGTAGGGGGAGTGCTTGTACCACCCAGGCACTCCCCCCTGTGGTCAAATAACCAATCTGCAGGAGGTGATCACAGTGACAGCCAGTCACTGTGATCACTATTACTATGTGTCAGCCAATGACCTCAGGTCACTGGCTGACACTTTGTCTCTGCCCCTCTCCTCACCTCACTTCGATCTGAGAGAGAGAGGCAGAGACATCGTTGGTTTTAGAGCTCCTGTGAAAAGTTTTATTACTTTATAAAAGTTTTAAAAATATATATTTTATTTAACCCTTTCAGTGCTGATCACAGCTTATTACTGTCATCAGCTGAATAGGGCATCTAGTACTTTTGTACTTTATTTTAAAAAAAAAATTTGGGTAAAAAAAAAAAAATTGAGGTAAAAAAAAAAAAATCTCATTTTTTTTTTGACCCTTTGTGTCAGTTGCAGCAACCCAAATCTCCATTACGCTTTCCCCGCTGCCGTGATCACTGTACTGTACAGTATATCTGCTGTATGGTACTATATCAGTGATCACTGTGATCAGAGGGCTCTCTGATCAGGCTGACCTTTTTTTTTTTTTAGGGTTATTTTTTTTCATAACTTAAAAATAACCCTTTCAGTACTGATCGCAGCTGCCTATACTGTGATCAGTACATTTATTTTATTTTTGAGGGTGGGTAGTGGGTGATAGGCAGGTAGTTAATTAATTAGCCCCTTAGTTAGCCCTTTTCACTTAATTTTTTTCCCCCTAGAATGGCACGTCACTACTCAGCCGAGGAGGCGTATGCCATTCTGGCAGGCAGTGATAGTGACACTCTGCAAGACAGTGACACTATCACTGCCTCTGACATTGAGCCTCTGAGTGAGACCTCAAGTGATGGTGCCCCACCACCACTCACAAAAGGACGCTCAGAATGCCCAATGCCAGAGGGAGACTGGGTGCCGTCAAACATGATGGCACCAGAAATATCGCCGCTCACTGTTACACCTGGCATCACTGTAACAGTGGACGACTGCGAGCCAATTCGTTTTTTTGAGCTATTTATGTCGGACGATGTATTTGAGCTCATGGCTCAGCAAACAAATTTGTTTGCTATGCAGTATCTCTCTGCACATCCGGGGTCCCATCATAATCGCAGGAATATGTGGAGACCCACGGATGTCGCAGAGATGAAGCGGTTTTGGGCTTTAACCCTAGTGATGGGTATAGTTAAAAAGCCCAGTATCAGGTCCTACTGGAGCAAGCAACGCATCCTGGCTACCCCTCTTTTCCCTGAGCTTATGCAGAGGGATCGCTATCTGCAACTGCTGCGATTCCTTCATTTTAATGACAACTCACTGTGTCGCCCTAGAAATGACCCAGGGCGACATTTCCCTTTATCCAACTCCTGTCAGACAAATTTTCTGAAAATTATATCCCCGATAAAGATATTTCAATTGACGAGTCCCTTATGAAATTCAAAGGTCGACTGTTATTTAAGCAATACATTCCTTCTAAACGGTCCCGATATGGCGTTAAATTTTATAAATTATGCGAACCCTGTACTGGTTACACATGGGCGTTTCGCATTTACCAGGGGAAGGATAGCCATCTTGACCCACCAGGATGTCCTGATTCTGTGGGTACAAGTGGAAAGATTGTTTGGGATCTAATACTTCCCTTGTTATATAAGGGATATAGGCTATGGGTTGACAATTATTACACCAGTATACAGTTATTTAAAAATTTATATTACTTTGAAACCCTAGCCTGTGGCACAGTGAGGAAGAATCGCAGGGGTTTCCCCCAAACCCTGGCAAGAGGCAGAAGCAGTAGAGGTTCCTCTTCAGCCCTCCACCAGGATGAGTTGCTTTCCCTTCGTTTCACAGATAGGAAGGATGTATACATGCTGTCTACAATGCATGACGAAAGTACAGTGCCAGTGTCTGAGAGGTAGCACTGAGCATCTGGAAAAGCCGAAGTGCATTGTAGACTACAGTGTCACGATTTGGGGAACCCAACACGCTGGCACACACACACACACACACAAAAGGTGCCGTACCGGACCTTAGAGTGGCCGGGCTAAGCACACACAGAATAGTCAGGAGACAAGCCGAGTAAGGGGAACCAGAAGACAGAATAACATGAAATAAGCTGAGGTCAAAGGGTAGGAGAAAGTCACAGAGTCAGATAAACAAGCCAGGGAGTACGTAACCAGAAGCACAAGGTAAGTAGCAATACTAGAAAGCAAAGACCACAACAGGGCAGGGAGGAACAGGAAAGGTAAGTATTTAAACCATAAGGTTAATTCTGATTGGATAATTTCCAATCAGAATTAACAATCACACGTGGGAGATATCTAGACCTCCCACTGTGATTAAGGCACTGTGCCTTTAATGCCGGGTCAGGTGACTGACCCCGGCGTGTATAAACCTGGGCGGTCTCCCAGCGTGCAGCGTCATGTATGCTGCCGCTGGGGGACGTGGAGGGAACGGCGGGCGGCATCCGAGGCTGGAAGGATGCCGCTCGCCGGACCCACGAGGAGGAGGGGACCGCGGACGGCTGGAGGGTGAGTACCGCGAGCGGAGTGCAGCCTCCCCTCGCAGCCGCCCGCGGGATCCCAACATTACCCCCCCCTCGAAGACCGCCCGGAGGGCGGGAAGCGGAAGGCTTCAAAGAAAAGCGGGCATGAAAGGAGCGGACCAAAGAGGGAGCGTGCACATCAGAGCTCGAAACCCAGGACCGCTCCTCAGGGCCGTACCCCTTCCAGTCCACCAAATATTGCAGCCGACCCCTAGAAACACGAGAGTCGAGAAGGGCAGCCACCTCGTACACGTCGTCAGAGACAGCGCGAGGGGAAACGGGCCGCCCGAGGGGACGAGAGAACCGGTTACACAGCAAGGGCTTCAAAAGCGAGACGTGAAACGTGTTCGGGACACGCATGGAAGGAGGCAGATCAAGGGAGTAGGAAACGGGGTTAACCCTACGTAACACCTTGAAGGGACCAAGAAACCTGGGGGCAAATTTCATCGAGGGAACCTTGAGACGGAGGTTCCTGGAGGACAACCATACCCTATCACCCGGAACATAAGAAGGGGCCGCAACCCTACGGCGATCAGCAAACTTTTTCTGAGCAGCTGCTGAACGAGACAGCGCAACATGGACCTGATCCCACGTCTTCCGCAAAGAGGCGAGGTGCTGGTCCAAGGCGGGCATTCCCTTGTCGGAGAACGCACCGGGAAGGACAGAAGGACGAAACCCATAAGCAACCTCAAAAGGACTTAAGCCAGTAGACGAATGAGACACCGTATTCCTGGCAAATTCAGCCCACGGAAGAAGGCGAGACCAGTCATCCTGGTGCGCATTAGTGAAGCAGCGCAAATACAATTCCACAGACTGATTAGCACGTTCGGCCGCACCATTAGATTGCGGGTGATAGGAGGAAGAGAACGACAAGGAGACCCCCATCTCAGCACAAAAGCCCCTCCAGAACCGAGAGACAAATTGAGGGCCCCTGTCAGATACGATATCCTGGGGTACCCCATGCAATCGGAACACTTCTTTGGCAAACACCTGAGCTAACTGAACCGCAGAAGGCAGTTTCTTAAGCGGAATAAAGTGCGCCATTTTAGAGAACCTATCCGTCACAGTCAGTATCACCGTCTGACCATCAGAAAGAGGCAGGTCTACAATGAAATCCATGGATAAGTGGGTCCATGGTTTCTTGGGTATAGATAGAGGCATCAGAAAACCCTGGGGTCTCACATTAAGGGACTTACACTGCGTGCAGACCTGACAAGCCTGAACAAAATCCACTACGTCTCGCTTGAGTGAAGGCCACCAGAACTGTTGAAGGAGGCCCTTGTAGGTTTTGGTAACCCCCGGATGACCAGCAGTTTTGGCGTTGTGAAATAAAGTTAACAACTTTTTTCTGTCATTTGCTTCAACGTATAGTTTACCAACCGGTGTCTCAGGGGGTGCCTGGGTTTGGTATGTCTTAATACTATCAAGGAAAGGTGAAGAAACAACCAAACGGGTAGCAGCTATTATCTGAGACGCAGGTACAATAGGTTCAGGAGTTGGGTTAACAAATTCTACTGGTTCATGCTGCCGAGAGATAGCGTCAGCTTTGGCATTACGGCAACCAGGTCTATAGGTAATAACATATTGGAAGCGTGAGAGAAATAGAGACCATCTAGCCTGCCGGGCAGATAACCTTCTAGCATCAGCTATATAGGATAGGTTCTTATGATCTGGTTCTTATAACCATCATTTTGTGTCTAGAATCCTCTAATAAGTACCTCCATTCCTTAAAAGCTAACACAATAGCTAATAGTTCCCTGTTCCCAACATCGTAATTCTTCTCTGAATCAGACAACCTTTTAGAAAAATAACAACAGGGATGGAGGGGTTTGTCATACGACAACCTCTGTGACAGTACGGCTCCCACACCTGACTCTGAAGCGTCTACTTCATAACAAAGGGAAGAGAAGGATCAGGGTGGTGCAGCACTGGAGCAGAGGCAAATGCCTTCTTGAGGGTTTCGAAGGCCTTAAGGGCTTCAGGAGTCCAAACCCTAGGGTGTAGACCTTTTTTTGTCAGCTTCGTTATAGGAGAGATAAGTGGTGAAAAGTTTTTTTATAAATTTCCTATAATAGTTGGCAAATCCTATAAAACGCTGGATAGCCTTCAGTCCTTGGGGAAGTGGCCAGGACAGTATAGCTTCCAATTTAGCAGGATCCATACTGAAACCCTGTTCAGTAATGATATATCCTAGGAATTGCACAGAGGTCTGATCGAATAAACAT